TCTGCTTTATTTGGCCGCCGGGTGGCTGTCCCCTCCACAGAGTGGGGGGGCACGTTCCTAACCCTGTGGCCTATGGGATGGGCTTCCCTGGGGCACACTGGGTGGCAGTTGATGTATAAATATGCAGAAGGGACACCCAACCTTCTTCTGGGCCATTGTGCCCTTTCTCGGGGTGCAGAGGGGGCAGGGTTTGGGAAGCCCTGGGCACCTCCCTCCGTGCACCACCAACTCCGAGCGCCCTGAGTGGGTGGTGACTGTAGAAAGCGCGGTTCCTTTCTGCCACATTTGCCACACATTCGAGACTCAGGCGGGGTGTTCTGAAAGCACCCTGAGGGTCACATCACAGGGTGACGCGGGGACAGGCCATGGGTTGGGAGGAGCTGGGTTCTGGGGACCACCCCACTGGGCTGGGCTCCACGGCCCTTAGCTTGGAATCTGGGACAGGCAATGGGGTCTCCAGAGCCCGGCGGAGGATGGAAGAGGCCGTGGGCCGCAGGCTCCGTGCACTTCCTCACTTCCTCTGCCCCCCGAGGTGCAGCCTGTTTCCCAGCCCAGCCGCGCTCTGGTCTGTTGCTCTGCAGGTCCAAGCCGAGTACCCCTGACCCACACCCTCACCCTGCTGCTCCAAAACCCGACAATCAGATGCTGACACACCGCCTTGGGGGAAATCCCACACCTTCAAACTTTGCTTCTTGCACCAAATTATAGGAGCATTGAGTAGGTGACCGTCAGGCCATAGGTGGGGGGTGTGTGGAACACAGAAGAGTTTCGTGGTCAGACATGGGAGCCGTCCCCAAGATACCGCACCATGGAGGCGGAAACTCAAAATCCAAAGCCTTCTGCCCCCACCGGTTCCAATGAGTCATCCTCTACTGTGCCCACGACAGTCCTTTCTGTTCTCCCCCTTGCTTATCAGTCTCAGCCTCCAGGGTCGGTGACTCCCATCCAGGGAAGTTTTCTGAGATCTGGTGACTGCTTTCCAGTGCCCTTTGTGTGTGCAAGCAAGACTTCACAGGAGTCCTCTGAGCTCCTGGCACTCTGTTCCAGCCCCTCCTCCCACACCTCCTTCCACCCTGCCCGTGGCTGGTAGCGCACATTGGCACCAAGGCTGGACGGTGAGGACTGGCTCTCTTGTTGCTATCTCCCTCCAGGTGGGCAGCAACTGAAATCTCGGTGACTTCGGCCGTTGGTCATTATTTCCCAATACTTTCATTTATGGGTGGTACTTTTATAAGTGGTGCTTAGTGTGAATTTTGAGTCCATCCATTCTTTCAACAACCATTTTTGGAGTGCATCAGGCAGAGCATGCCATGTTCTAAGAACCAGGGACACAGGAGTGGCCAAGAAAAGCAGTGCCCGTGGCCCAGCCTCACCTGGTGGGGGAATACCATGACCAAGGAGACAGAGGCCTCCCTAGTCTGATCTCAGAGGGAACAGTTTCTTTTTCTTTGTGCAGCGTTGACATGTGGCCTTCAAAGTCAGCCAATTGCCTTTGGAAGACAGGTACCTTCCCTGGGCATGAGAGCTCATGCAGTGTCTCGATTTGTCATCTCATTTGTTAAAGTGCTTCTGACAATCCTGCACTCTCCACCACACTGGGTAGAATCGCAGAGTCCTGCATTGGAGGCTGGACTTCAGCATGGTGCCTGCAGGAGGCCACTCAGCTGGCCAGCCTGGAACCACCGAGAGCCGGCTCTAGGTTTCTTTATGGATCCGTGTCTTGAGCGAGTCAGGGGTGGGGATGGTGCCGAGAGCCCCGAGGCTCATCTTTATCATTTCAAACGGGTGATGGACAGCAAATACAGCTTCAAGGGGCAGAAACTGGGAGATGGCTTCAGGGGTCACAGATGTGGCCACGGACCCCAAGACGCAATGACATTCTCCTCTCTGGACCTGTGCTGTGTATTCAGGATCCCGGATCCCAGGGCGACAGCTGGATTTACAAAGCAGAGCCAAGACACCAGGGTGAAATGCCCAAGGGGGCCTACGTTTTTCTACTGGGGAAGTCTTAATTACATCTCGAGGCGGCACAGACACCCGAGGACCACCAGCAGCCCAGACCCGGAGCAGAAATGCCAAGGACGCGCGTTCGGAAGGTCATCCAGGTGGAACTCAGCACCACGTCCTTGTTTCCTTTTTCCCCCGAGCCTTTGGGCAGGTGAACAGGTGGCACGGGCAAGCCAGGCGTGATGGAGCTGCCCCTCTGTCCTGCATTTTATTGCTAGAGTGGCCAATCCCAAAACATACCTCACCCAGAGAGAGCTCTGTTGACCCCCCTCAGGACCACGTTTTATCTTCCTAGACCAAGGAGGCTCTGCGGACTGGCTCCCCCCCCCTTCTTTCTTCTCATTTAATCTCATTCGACATTCATGGCTGAACTCCTGCCGTGTGCGTGCCCGAGTCAGAGCCTCACCGAGTCGCTCAGGCTGCTTCTGAACTTGCAATCCTCTTGCCCCAGCCTCCCAAGTAACTGGGGTCACAGAGGAGCGCCACCCGCCGGGCTCTACCTGCTCACTTAGCTGAGCACCTGGCCCCGTCGCGTGCGGGCCGTCTGAACTGTGGGCTCTGTTGCTGAAGGTCCCACATGCAGCCCGGACAGCTCGGATACAAACAGATGTAAACTGAAATAGGTAAACATGTAAATATAACAGCGAGGGTCGTTATTCAGGATTTTAGAATGTTTATATTGTCTACATGTTTCAACGCAAATATTTAGTTACATAAGCTGTAAATATTTTATATCAAAGTCATATTTTACAAACTGAAAGGGCTGGGGATGTAGCTCAGTGATAAAGCACCCCTGGGTTCAATCCCTGATGCCAAAACCAAAACCAAAAAAAAAAAAAACCACAAAATATATTTTACATATAATTACATGCAAATTTATTAATTATTTTATAGAAAATGTTGTGACATTTATATATTAACTATATATATTTATGTATTTTAAATAACATATATTTATTATAATAATTACATATTCTCCATATTCTCTTTTTTATTTTTTTTATCCAGGGATTGAACACAGGGGCACTTAACCACTGAGCCACATCCCCAGCACTTTCTCATATTTTATTTAAAGACAGGGTTTTGCTGAGTTGCTAAGAGCCTCGCTAAGTTGTTGAGGCTGTCTTGGAACTCACAATCCTCCTGCCTCAGCCTCCTGAGTTGATCGGACCTCAGGCGTGGGCCACCGTGCCCAGCTGAATAATTGCACGTTCTTATTGTTCATTAACACGTGGAAGTCAGAGTGGACAGGCAGCTGCCGTGACGGTGCCTTTCCTCTGCCCTGGGGTGCTCCACAGCCACTTGACTCTCTCCTTGGAGCCACATTCTCTGAGTGCCAGGAAGGGCAGTAAGGACCCCCTGCCCCCCGCTGTGCCCAGACAGGTGAGGTCAGTAGGGGGCCCAGGGTGCTGTGGCTGGTGGGTGCCATTGTCAGCCTCCGGCCTGGGAGAGGAAAAGGTGATGGTGGAGCGACGGGGGCATGAGTGAGCCCACCCTGACCCTGACAGGCTGGCCCAGCCCAGGGAGGGATGGACTCCAGCGCCCTTGTCCTCAGACCCAGGGCAACCGAGTGGCCACAAGCCACGCCCCTTCCCTGGAGCTGAAGATGTTCGTGACAAACCTGCCTCATCATGGGGAGGGTCGAGGGTGGGGAGAGGTTGCCGTCAGCCTGCAGAGGCCTGGGCTGCTCTTCCCTGGAACTAGTGCCCAGGTCTGTTGGGGAGCAGCCTGGGGTCCCCCCCTGACGGCTGGGCAATGCACTGTGAAGTGTGCCCAGATTCTCCTTTGGAGCATGAACTTGACGTTCTTGACATGGACCTGCTGCAGGTGCAGGGGGCCTTCATGACCCTCAGTCCTCCCAGGCCTCTGCTGCCTGATACAGGCTGTCCCCTGCACTTCCTGAGATTGTGGCCGCCTGGGTTGCGGAAGCCAGCTGGGGGTCAGAGTTGGTACGGCCTTGAGGCTGCTGTGTGGTCTGGCACTGGCTCAGGAGCTCTGCTAACAGACGTCTCTCCCCATCTCCATTGAAGTGACGTTGTGTTGGAATCTTGCAATCAGCCATGGAAGTTGGCAGGTGGTTCAAGCAGAGAACCAGCTCCTAAGCAGTTAATGCTGGAAGGTGTGGGGTGGAGTAGGAACTCTAGAGGCCATCAGCAGCCCTGCACGCTCTGCCCCAGGCCTGCAGGTGTGGCTCCTGGGCTTCCTCTACAGGAAGGGCGTCTCCTCTGGCAACCTGTCCTGGTTCCCAGCCTTCCTCACCTCCTCCTCACCCCTGTTGGACCTGCACAGACTCCTGCGGGAACACAGCACTCCCCATTTTCAACCCTAGATTCCCCCACCAGTTTTGGAAGCAGGGCTGATAGTTGTCTCTGGGGCACTGTGAGGAAGGCATGGGGTGCAGAAGGCGAATTGCAGAGCCCTCCGGTCTGCAGGAACTGGGCTCTGCACTGCTGCAGCTGATGCTCGGGGACATGACTGGGGCACTTGGATCTTGCAGGCACATCCCGGGAGTCAGGGCTGCTCCACCGGGAAGAGGGGAATCCAGGGCCCTGTGATCCTCTAGTCACACAGGGAAGAGCCTCTGCTGCTTTTCTCCCTGGGTCATAACTGGGCATGGGACTCAGGAGGAGAGGGACAGGGCCTACCAGGCGTCTACTCCATGCCAGCCCTTGTTCTCAGTTCCTTTAGACCCTGTCTGGTAGATGGTGGTAAAGCAGAAACCCAGGCTCCAAGAAGGCAGGAGTGGCACTGACCCCAGAGCCACCGGCCTGCAAGGCCCACACTCATTGTCCCGGCCACGTGTGATGCAGGAAGTAGGGGGTCCACATCCGGGCCCCTGAGGGGAAGCAGAACCAGACTTGGAAGGGAATGCTATCGGGGGACTTCGGGGCCTGGGTCTCTTCCGCCCTGACACTGCTCCAGGGAAAGCCTCCTACACCTTCTCCTTGCCGCCGTCCATGGTAACTTCCAGCACACCTTTGCTCTCTCCTCAGGTGTCGTGCGCCAGGTGCGGCCCATCGTGGGCCCTTTTCATGCCGTCCTGAAGCTGGAGATGAACTACGTGGTCGGGGGTGTGGTCTCCCACCGAAATGTCGTCAACGTCCACATCTTTGTCTCTGAGTACTGGTTCTGAGGGCTGGTCCACAGGGCAGCCCACATCGTTGCTGCAGTGACCGCTGTGCCTGTGTGACCCCGAAGGCATTTTTAAATGTTATGTGTTGGTTTGTAGCATTAGGCCAATATGTATTTTGCTGAGCCAGGTGAATAAGCCCATCCGATGTACTCTGGTGTTTAAATAATGAGTGTAATTGCTCAGCTGTTTGGCTGAAGACCTTGCTGATGTTTTTAATGCAAAGGTTAGATTTTGTGCCTTTCTCTGCCTGTGGACTGGGCCTTGGTAAGAACTGAGGAAAGACATCTCTCAAAGGGGCAGCCAGTCCAAAATCCAAGAGAAGGCCCAATTATATGAAATTTGACATTTTGGTCCTTTGACACCAATCAGCTTCTGTGTTCTAAGTTCATGGCTGCTGAAGAATAGCACATACATGCACAATAATTTCTCCCCAGAAGCAGCCTGACAGAACGCCTTGGGGATACTTAGAAGGTCAACTGCAGTCCTGTTGAAACAGGGGGGTCTCTTGGTAAAGACACAGGCTGTGGTGTTTGGTGTGGCCTAATGTGGTCGCCTGGGGACAGGCTGGGTTTCTCTGTACCCTGCATCCTTTCTCACAGGTGGGAAATAAACAGCTTTGCCATCCTCCTGATGGCCTGTGTGTGGAACTCTCTCTAGAACGGGGCTCCTGGTCTGGGCTGGGGCTCAGTGGTAGAGCGCTTGCCTAGCATGTGTGGGGCACTGGGTTCGATTCTCAGCACCACATACAAAAATAAATAAAGATATTGTGTCCATCGATAGCTAAAAAAAGAAGGAGGAGGAGGGGGCTCCTGCTAGCTCAGGGGTCCTTCAGCAGCAAAAGGACAGGAACTGTCCCCCCAAGAGTCCTTTCCCCCTCCTCTCAAGCACAGACCCCCTTCACCCTCGGGACACCTTCTCATTCTCGGCAGCCTGGACCCTGGCCCTGGCTGAGATGGGGACCTCACATGCAGCATGGCCCCAGCAGGTCTCCAGGGGCCGCTGGTGTTGCAGAAGGCTATTCAGACCTCTCCGACCCTCAAGGACGCGAGTCCAGCCTCCTGGGGACCGCCAGGTGTTTCGAAGTCACTGTGTGAACACTGTCAGGCCAGGCCAGGCCTGGGGAAGGCCGTGTGGGGCTGGGCAGACAGGGAGCCATGTCCAGTGACAAGGTCAGCACAGGGGATTCAGCAGCTCTCCAGGCCAAGGAGGCAGGTCTTGGCAGGGAGCACGGCCTGGGGCTGATCACAGGAATGGAATCCTCAGGACTTGGGGAGAAGAGAGGGCAGGTGGAGCCCAACAGCCACCTGCAGCTAGGGAGTCATCTGCAGGGCCAGCAGCTTGGGCCAGGCTCAACAAAGGATTTCTGGAGCGTTCTTCCAGAGGTCTGACTGGGACTTGGACTGGGCCAGGGGCACAGAATTCCTGACAACTTCCAGAAAGGGCACCTCCATAGGGCTCTTGGCATTAGTTAGCATGGGACCTGCCATTGGTGAGCAGAGCCAAGCCTCCTGCCACTGATTGGCTCCCAGATGAGCATGTGACTTAAGATGGCCAATCAGGGCCTTCCCTGAGGGGGCTGATTAGGGGGCGGGGCTGGGAGCTGCCAGGTCTGGGAGCGGAGAGGAAGGGACAGTGCTGACCCTTCCCGATCCAGAGTCAGTCTGGACCCAACCTCAGCTCTGTCAGGGCCAGCAGGGCGTCCCTCTCATCTTCCAAGCTTCATTTCTGCATCTTTAAGCAGATACAGCAATCCCTAGACCAGGGCTAAAGTTCATGAGCTCAAGAGGGCTTGCCGACTGTAAAAGTGCTGCACACAGTGTGAGATCCCGTGGTCGCTGACCGTGAAAATGATGATGGATGCCACTGGCTGTGAAGCCACATGAACGGGCTCCAGAAGCCTTCATATTTTCAGTCCTGATTTCCATTTACGTGTGTGTGTGTGTGTGTGTGTGTGTGTGTGTCCTTTTTAGTTGTAGCTGGACTCAATGCCCTCATTTTATTCATTTATTTCTATGTGGTGCTGAGGATCGAACCCAGGGCCTCACACGTGGTAGGTGAGCGCTCTGGCACAGAGCCCCTGCCCTGGCCCCTGATTTCCATTTCTTAATCACCCAGGAGATACCCGGTAGACAGCTGTGTAAATCACACCCAGCCCTAACTCTTCCCATTTCATCTCACACTCCATGTTGGTCACCGGATGGACCAATAAGTGTCCATTATTCTTACAAAGCAATCGCAGTCAGGGCCCAGCTAACAAGAGCTGGAGGTGCCTCTGGGCCCCAACAGCAGTTCCCTGTCTTAATTGCAGCCTTTAAACAAAGTAATTGCGGGGAGACGCTGAAGGGAAAGCAGTTTATAAGCCTGAGAAGGCAGACACACAGGGCCAGTCGTTTTGCTGACCTGGAAGTAGAAGGACTTGGAGGGAAGATTCCAGAAAGCCCAAACTACCATTCAACCAGGAAACGGCTGGCTGGAGGCAAGGACCCGCCCCACTGTACTGAGAAGCTCCGCGGCATGTGGCAGGAGCTCCCCGGCCACCTGGCATCCTCGTGAGACCAGTGTCGGCACATTTGTGGGACTTGGGTGGACAGTGGCAGGGCCACCCAGCCGAGGGGACTAAGGAGGTGAGCTGGCGCGCCAAGGCTCCGTGAGGTTCCCAAGTTTGTCCCTAGTGAAGAAGCCCTGGGAGTCGAGCTGTGCTTTTCTTCTTTCTTAATATTTTATTGTGAAGCTTTCTCAAATATACAGCAAAATTGAAGGAATTTTAGGGAGAATGCCCAGGTGCCCACCGCCTTGACCCTGCCGTTAACATATTAGGAGCTCTAGTTGCATTTGGAAGAATCGGCGACTCAGTGAGATTATAAATATAAAAGCTCTGCAGAGCTTGCAGCCTGCCTTCCGCTCCTGCCACTTTCTCACTGTGGGCTGCCGCCCAGCCCCACCATGGCAAAGGAGAGGACACCTGGGCACCTAGTGGCGCTTTCTGTTAGTCTAGTCTGGACAGGAAGCAGAAAGAGTGAAACTGCACAAGAATGGGTCACTGGCTATGGACGTCCATTTGTGCACCTGGCCCCTGCTGGGTGGGGAGCACTGAGGGACCAGGACGCGTCTCTGTTCACTTGGGGGTATCCCCAGGGAGTGCGTGGCTCAGAAGAGGCGCCCAGGAAGCGTCTATGGGATGGACAGCATAAAAACCCTGCAAACGGACAGGAAGGGGCATGATGCTCCAATTCTTACAAGACGGTCAGCCCACGTTGTGGCCCACAGTCTCATGGGGGTGGCTGACGTGGGCAGTGGCAGTGAGAGCTGAGGAAGGAGATAATTTCTAGAAAGCGTTCTTGATTTCTCAAGAATTCAAATACTCGAAACCTTGCTCTTGGAAGTTCTCTCTGAGATCTAACTTAAATCCATTCCTCCTCCTCTCCTCTCCTATAGTCTAAGCATCTTTGGGACAAGAATCCATCTAAAAGACCCAAAACCCCCTGCACAAGACCCTGGCTTGAGCCTCCCCTGCACCAGGCCTGCAGCACTGATTGTCCCTCCTGGGCTCTGTGCACCTATCTGGTTGCTCCATGCAGGGCGGGCTGTGCTTGGCAGGACAGCATGGCCAAGACCAGGGCACACAGGTCCCCTCCGCTCCCCCCTCCCGTCCCTGACCTCACACCGGCACCAGGGACCCCCATGCTCCTAGAGAGCAGCCTCTGAGGCCCCTGCTGCCACCTCGTGCAGTCCACTGACCTCCTGACCCAGGGGCTCATGTGGTGGGTGCCTCGGAACGGGCAGGTTGGGCTTGGAAAATGATAAGACATGCCTGAGCCGGGCTGGCCCAGAGGTGACCGCCGCCACCACCAGGCTCTGAAGAGAGAAAGGCATGTTTCCCACGGTGCAGCGCGAGACGCTCGTGTCCTGCAGCCCACCTGGACAATCTGAGGGCTGCTCTCCGTAGCTCAGCCTGGATAATTGCATAGTTAATCGTGTGCAGGTAACTCAGCCAGGGGAGGTGGTCAAGGGAGGGGGAGCCCGGCTCCCACTCCGCTGGAGAGCTGCCACGCTGCCCCTGTGCCTGATCCCGGGGTGGACCTGCTGCCCACATGCACGAGGCCTGGCCTGCTCATCTGACACAGGGGCAGCTGGACGCTGACGCCTGGTGGCCCTGCTGCTGCCCGCTTGCTCTGTCAGGTCAGGTCAGAGGCCACTCCGTCTGCAGATGCTCTGCCAGGGTGGTTGGAGGGAGGGTGTCTCTGCTCTCAGGCCGGAAGGAGCCAGGGTTTTCCCTGGGGACTTTGGCCCAGTTTCCTGGGACACAGGGAAAGCCAGTGTCCATTTTCCTTCCTCCACACACTGGCTCTAGGGTCCTGGTGCCCATGGCCCTGGGTGGTTCCCCTTGGGGCCACTCAGCCTTCAGGGATCCAGGCCATGTTCAAAGGTCCCTGACACCACTGGGCAGAGGGCCGAGGTCAGGGGAATGGCCCCCAGGCGGCTTGATTCTCTAATCCCGTCCCTCCCTACATCCCGGGGTTCTACCACCTCAACTGCCAGGCACGGGTGCCCCGGCCCCTCCCTGCTCTGCAGCTCGGCCGGGGCAGGCAGCCCTGGGTGCCGAGGGGTGGGGCTGGAGGGCGAGGTGCAGGGCTGTTGTCAGGGGCAGTCTGCAGCCCTGCCCTGACCGGCAGACCTCCGCCTCCTCCCTCCCTCCTGTTCCCTCTTCCTCTGGAGAACTCAGGGACAGAGCACAGGTCTCCGGGTGTGGACCGCTGTGACCTACGCTGCAAGCCTGGGACAGCCTCTGCGCCTGGTGCAGAAGCCTGAGCTGCAGCCCACACACCCAGGGCCTCCCTGGAGCCCAACCTGGGGAGGCCTGCCCAGGAGAGGCGGCGGGAGGGAGCCTGGAGACAGGGAGGAGGTCACGCCCCGGGTGAGCAGGAGAGGCAGCGGACACAGGGTCCTGGAACTGGGCCAAGGAAGAAAGTGTCACCTGAAGGGTGGGACCAGGAGCCGAGAGGCCATGGCGTGCCTCTGCTGACAGTCCTCGGGGGCTCAGGGGCCACAGCGGGACCAGGAAGTCTGAGCAGCAACAGAGCCGACCGTTATCATCTCGGGGACCCAGCTCTCAGCACCGAGTCTTCCTGCACTCCGAGGGCCAGTGAGTCCAGCCGTGTGAACGCACAGTGGTCCAGGCTGGCTCCTGAAAGGTGAAGCCCGCTCTGCCCTTCTCCTTGCCAAACTGGGTCCATGCAGGAGGACCTTCAGACTCCCAGGGGCACCCTTCTGGACCTCTTCCCCTTACTGCGCACACAGCAATGGCCTAATCCTTGCTTTAGGAAGCAGGGCCCTCCCGCCCCAGTGTGAAGACTCTGGTTTTGCACAAAGGGATTATTCCACAGGGGACAGCTATGGG